ACAGCATTCTTCTCCCATGTTAAACGCACACAACTTTGAAGTTGCTCCTGGTATTAATTACGAGTATATATATGCCAAAGGAAACACCAATAATGATTCAAAACCGACTATCTTATTTCTCCACGGTTTTCCATCGTCATTTCACAGTTGGCGTCATCAAGTTGAATATTTTTCACGGCAAGGATATGATTGTTTAGCACCAAATATGATGGGCTACGGAAAAACGTATTCACCATTGAGCACACATGAATACAAGAGCAAATCAATGGTCGAGCATCTCATTGCTCTTCTCAATCACTTACAAGTGAACAGAATCATTGTCATCGGACACGACTGGGGAACTCGAGTGGCTGGTCGCTTTGTTTTGTATCATCCTGAGCGAACATTGGGTGTTGTACTGATTAGTGGTAGCTATAATGCACCGGCAGTATTTGATCTCGATCGAGTACTTGAGGCTTCAAAGAGAGCCCTTGGATACGAAATTTATGGCCATTGGAAATTTTTTGAAGCTGACGATGCAGCAGCGCTTATTGCAAATAACTTAGAAAGCTTCATTGATCTTGTCTTTGCGAGTGATCCGGCACTCTGGAAAACGAATTTTGCTCCAGTTGGAAAAGTACGAGACTGGCTCGTGAATAAGAACAGAACTACTCGAGGTTCGTATATGACAGAAAACGACTACACGATCCTTCGACGATACCTTTCCGAAGGAATGCAGCCAAAAATGAATTGGTTCAAAGCGATGATTGCGAACAACGATTGGGATGATGAAAAGAACCTCGATCCAGTAATTAAACGACCTATGCTGTATCTCGGAGGAGCAAAAGACTATGTAAGTGTTATCGCTTCCTACGGAGGGCCAAACCAATATGTTGCCGATTTGGAAACAGTTGCATTAGATACTGGCCATTGGGTGATGGAAGAAAATCCACATGCAGTCAATCGAGAAATCGACAGGTGGATCAAGAGAATCCTGTGAATTTGGTGCTTCAATTATAGTACTTTGTTCTAATCAGACTATCATTTGTTAATTAAACCTCGTTCCGTTTTACTCCTTTAGTATTGACAAAAATGTATGGAAATTAAAGAAATTACTTTCGAAAATCTTTATTACAAAACTTTTATAGCTCATTTTGTGAACCTCTAAAATACATTATGTATTCAAGAGCTAGCGTTGAGAAAATATTTAGAGACAATCTACAAATAAAAATGTATATATGCATTTTTACAATTCAGGCAAAACTATAATTTGGCCTGAATTGAAATATACAAGTCCTGATTGAAAATATGATGAATAAATAACATATAAAAAATTATTATATTATAGAAAAAAAATATAATGAATAAAATATGATGTAAAGGGTGACCGATTATCATGGACACAATACTAACCAGACATATTTTTTCTATGACCCAAGATTTTTAGTCACTGACTGAAGAACGCTGC